TCCATTTTCAGTTCTATTCAGCCCGCTTCACTCTGCAGTGGAGTGGAAAATGGCAAACTTGAACTGACATCCAACAGCTCGACTCTCTTTCTCAAAATCAAACATGTGGATTCATCTGACTCTGGGTTTTATTTTTGTGGATATACCATAAAAACACACCCAGTGATTGTCAGCTCAACATATGTACAGGTTCCAGGTAAGAAAGTGTGAATGTCATTTGGATGCTAGCAGAAAACAAAGACACAAGTACTTCTATTCAACAGATAGTAATGGAAAACTGTCAATATGATGTAGCACTAAAGAACTTTAGCCCCATTATATCTGTATATGTAGTGGTAGAGCTGATAACAACATGGAAGTCAGCCTGAAGCATTGTTCCTGCCCCCTTTTAGGCGTCATTATGCACATAAATACTGGTCACTGATGGAGTGAGCTTATTTATCTGTTTATTAACAGTTAAGCTTGATTTAATTTCCTATTTTGATTTCAGCCACATATCTACTCTTGAAAGTTAAATAACAGGCTACCTTAATGATCTGTCCTGCAGAAGAATCTGACGGAACACCTCCTAGTAATCTGCTGAGTTTCATCCTGGCTGGTGTGACTGTTCTGCTTATTCTGGTCATCATTGGTCTGATTGTTCAAAACCGAAAACTTAAGACAGGTACTGAGCTTGTCCTAAAAAATGTGAAACTAGTCTACCAAGGACAATGATTAGTTAACTGACTGGTTGTTTTGTGTTATTTCTTTTACTCAGCTGATAAACAAGAACAGAATCCAGAGCAAAGTGAGGTGAATCCAACTTTAACATTTACTTGTATGTATGTATGTATGTCTATATATATACCAATCTGCAAACACCATAGCTTCAACTTGCCCGAGAGTCCTGACCCCCACCAAAAATTTTCACCAGCCGCCACTGCGTACACACATTCTAACATCTTGGAGATATACTTTCACCAGGTTTAATGAATGAACACTGTCCATATGTCAATGTTTGTATCGGCCTCAAAAACTTCGTATCAGGATATATCGTGACTGTAACTGTTCTTTTCACAGACTCTTGACCCTGATGACCTGGACTACACCACGGTTGCATTTCAACCAAATGTTAACAGAAGAGAGCCAGAACCGGAGCCAGTGCCGGAGCCAGAGGTTATTTATTCTGCCACCAGATAGACTCAGGAGGAACTGACTCTGTATCATATGAATGCACTTTGAGGCTTGGCATGGCTGTTTGTTAGAAGAATACACACTGCTGCAGCATCGATACGTTTTTCCAATAAAGATCTGATGTTAACTGATTACTCAGCATTTCCTTTCTAATTGTCAAAATCTTTTTTTATCCAAACAAACATATGAGTAGTGTTTCATCGAGAAGGAGGCAGTAAGGACATTGTTGACTGTCCACATTATCTTATAGTAAGAGTTAGGTAGTGAGAAGCGAGTGAGGTACACATTTTATTTATTGAAAGGAAGAGACACAAGTGAGGTGAAAAGCATGACACCTGTGGACTAACACTTTTCAAGTAAAATAATCCAAAAGAACACAGGGGAAACAGGCTGACTTTCTACAGTAGCAAAAACAATATAAGTCCCCACGTATGTATAAAAGTTCATCGCATTAGTGCGGATACTGGATATAACTGAGATATAGTGTGCATGTGGTTGATGGTGTGGAAAATGTCTGGTGTGATCAAAAAGTTCTCAGACTGTTCCTATTGCAGTTGCATGGAGCATGTCATGGCAGCTAGCGTGTAACACATGCAAGCAGACGAGCACCTCAGGAGCATGCTTGTTGTTTCTTTAGACTTCACATGGGTGTTTGCTGGGAATTTGTTCCCTAGAGTTGGACTGTCAAGGCACAGTTCTACTGTAACGTCCTGAGGGAGAAGATTTTGTGCAAATGACCTAAACTCTGGCGTGATGGTGTATGAGTGCTCCAACTGCACTGTGCCACAAAGACATAATTGTCACTCTCCACCCATTGTGCTTGCAAGATTTAGGTCTGTGTGACCTCTTTCCGTACTCCAAAATGAAATGTTGGATGCCATTTAAAGTCGTCTGTTTTTCAAATGAACCTGAGATCCATCAAGAAAAACCACAAGAATACATTGTTCATTGTTTTAAAGTAGCGTGAAGGTGAATAAAAATGAATATTAGAGGGAGAGTAGTTCCATTCTTGTACTCACTGAGGCTGCAGATGCCCTAAAACTACTAACAAGGTCAAGTTAAACTCCATATGTACTACAGCTCTAAAAGTTCTTTAAAGAAGGACAGACTATATTAAAAATACAGGCCCAGAAGTAGATCTTGAATACATCTGTGATCATTGACACACAAGTTAGAGAATGTATGATTGTGAAAGTAAATTTAGTGTACCTCTGATTTCCAATGAACCTAACTGCATGAACATGAGGTACAGAACGAGCTATGGTACCAGCAATCAAACCGCAATGGCAGTCATCCTTAAGTGACGCCATGGTCAGTGTGCTACTTGTGTATAACAGATGGACACGTGGTCTGACATGAAAAGAAGCCGGTTTTGTTCGGAGCACATTCTTTGGTCAGATGTTCCTGGGGATCCACACCTCGGAGGACCTGTGCTGGGCCAAAAACACCTCTGGCCTGGTTAAGAAGGCTCACCAGCAACTCTACTTCCTGAGGACACTGAGGAGGAACCACCTGTCCACCGCAATGCTGGTGAACTTCTACTGCTGTGCGATAGAGAGCATCCTCACCAGCTGCATCACTGTCTGGTACAGGAACTGCCCTCTCACTAGGAACTGCCCTCTCACTAGGGCTCTGCAACAGGTGGTGATAACTGCCCAGTGCATCACAAGGACTCCACTCACAGCCAGTGAGGGCACCTTCAGGAAACGCTGCCTGCATTGAGCTCGCAGCATCCTCAAAGACTCCTCTCACCCCAACCATAGACTGTTCAACCTCCTGCCCTCCAGAAGGGGGTTCAGGAGCCTCCGGGCTAAGACCGGAACAGCTTGTATCTCAAAGCTGTCACCTTATTGAACTCTGCCTGCCGTTAACCCCCGTCCCTCACCCTCCTTCACACTCCTCTCCCCTCCTCATCAACCAAAGCAATACCCAGTATCTGCATTAATTATACATTGCACTGTAATTACTGTGTACTGTCACAGATTATGCACTGGTCTTGTTAATATCCACTTCACTGTTGTATTGTCAGTTTTAATGTCCATTGCACATATCCATTTGTAAATATACACCATGCCATATATTCATGTACATAAATAGGTAAATATATATATATATTTTAACCTGCATTTTATACTCTGCACTTTTGCACTTCTGGTTAGATGCTAACTGCGTTTTGTTGCCTTGTACTTTTACATGTGTAATGACAATTAAATTGAATCTAGTCTAATCTCTAAATAAAGGCCTTCAAGTTGAAACAAATGCAGCTTTACTGAGTACATACCAGCTGAGTGGGATGTGGGAGCCCCTGCTGTTGTTTTACTGATGTCTTGAAGATGTACGGCCAAGTTTGGTTTATCTTCGGAACTTTGCGGTATGAATTTGTGATGCAGAGAGCTGAAGGCCAGGCTTCCTCTGGTTGACACCTCACCAATGAAACAAACATCTCACACTGTGCTGATTGTTATCACACAGGGCAGGTAGGACTCAAACTTCTACACAAATGTGGAGGTTTGTATTTTTCCTGCTACAGAGGAAAGGCAGCCAATGTCCACTGCTTCCTTTTGAATTCTGTTACTGTAAAGATTTGGGTTTACAGGCCACATGATTTTTTTTTAAATCTCACTTCACACTCTGTGCTGTTGCTTCCTGTCAAAAATGTGATGTGCACCTCATTTGTGCCTCACTATCACACTTCTGTTTAAAGAAATAGGCTGTGACAGAGAAAAAGAAAGTGCTTAGTGTTATAGATAAAAAAAAACAAAAAACAAACAGTTCACGATGAATTAGCATTGCATCTTTATTGGAAAATTTTCAGCAACAGATGTTCCTCTCACAAACAGTCATGCCAAGCCTCAATGTATATTCACATCATACAGCACCGGTTCAAGTTGTTCTGCCTGAGTCTATCTCGTGGCAGCATATATAACATTTGTCTCCTGCTCTCTTCTTCTAACTTTTGGTCGAAATGTCACTGTAGCGTAATTCTGGTCATCCGAGCCGAGATTCTGTGAGAAGAACATGTACAGTCACAATAAGTCCTGATAGATACGTTTTTGACTTTTACCGATATTGAAATTTGGCCAGTGTTCATTTTTAACATTAAAAGCTGCTTTTTGACAAATTTAATAAGTAAAACATTTTCCAGAAGTAGTTATATGTCATTTCTGTACAGCCATTTCTTTTTAAGTCCAACACACACACACACACGCACACAATAGAAGTATATACTTAATGAATCTGTATCAAACAATACACAGAAGTATACTTTAAAGTTGGATTCACCTCACTTTGCGCTGGATTCGGTTCGTCTTTATTAGCTAAGTGACAGAAATAAGACAAAACAAATGGTTAGTTAACTGACTGTCATCTTTGTTAAATTTGTTTCGCATTTTTTATTTTTTTTTTAAATGATTATTGACACGAGGAGCATTAAAAACAGATAAAAGTTAGACAGTTTAGTTCTTAAAAAGTACCTGAATGAAGTTTTCTGTTTTGAACAATCAGACCAACGATGACCAGAAAAAGGAGAACAGTGAAACCAGCCAGGATAAAACACATCAGCTTTGCTACGCCGTCGGAGTTTTCTGTAAGAAAGACCTTCAAGGTAAAATCTATTTTTGAGAATTCAAATGTGGCTAAATTTAAAGTGGAAGAAAGTCAAAGTGGCTCTTTTATATTCAAATGGTTCATCTCTACAGTGAAGGGAATCTTTAAGAAAGTCTTACGTTCGGTGTCACAATGAGGTTCGTCGCCGCCTTTAAAAGAAATAATTAGTACAATTACTAACAATAAGTTTGTATTACATTACATTGTAGTCACAACAGCCACTTTGTTGCATACAGGAAGAAAGTTATCATATTGTCTTTGCAGTGTAAGTAGAAAAATAGCCAAACAATAGGAACAAAAAGAAAGTAAAGACTTACCTGCAACTTTTAAATGTGTCACACTGAAAAGTAGGCGCGGACTTTCATAAAATCCACAGAAATACTGTCCAGAATCTGATGAATCCACTTGTTTGATTTTGAGAGAGATAGTAGAGATGTTTGAGCTCATTTCAAATTTTCCACCTTTGAATCCATCATAATATGTAGGCTTGCCGCTAGATCTGATCATGACGGAGATGCAATCGACCGTGGCTCTGTTGTCCAGTCGGAACCAGAATGTTACACACTCAGACTTGGAAATATTGGAGCACCGCAGCGTGACGTCTTCGCCAGGCTTGACCTCCTTGGTCTGAGACTCAGAACCTAAGACAGAGATCCAGCCTGAAACAAACAGCAGGGACAGCAGTAGAGTTACTTGCTTTACAGTAACATTAATACAGTTAAAACAAAGTTAGGAGTAAAGGTGAGTACTTACAGAGGCTGCAGAGGCTTACAGCTGCTATGAAGGTGAAGTTCATCGTTGGGTGCATGACTGACGCTCTGCACTGTACGTGAATGATGTGGGACCCAGGAAGGGGCTTCTAAATACAAAGAGGTGGGGTTTTGTGTCGCTTCACCTTCAGTCGAAGAGAGTTAGTTTTGGTGCTACAAACCTGCTCTCAGACAGTGTTGTTGCATAGTATTGCGTAATGTTCAAAGCAGAATGTATACGATGTGATGAACAGAGACGCATTAAATACCAAAATTCAACTTCATCTTCATTTCCAAAATAGTTAGAGAGCAATGGTGACATTTCAAAGTCAACGCTTCAGAACAATAGTCCATAAACCAATGGATGACGTCATATACAGTCTGTGTGCAACTTACACATCAAATAGAGGTAAATAAAAATGAAACAGAAAGACAAACGGATTCCTTTCATGTGTTTTGTACCTGAACTGCAGTCTTCCTGCTCTATGCTATTGAAGGTTACAGATGTCATGACCTTTGGTTTCGCCATTTATTTCCCGATTTTTATTTTGGAATCCCTTTTCCTCATATGTCGCTTGTGTTTTTACTTCCTCCCTTTGTCTTTTTTTTCCTCCTCTTTTCATTGCTTCCATTAATTTCATCTGTGTCGTACGTCTCCTTGATTAGTTTTCTGTGTCTATGTATTCCCATGTCTGTCCTTGTGATTTGTCAGTTTATCTACCTCACGTCCACCTGCCTGATTCTCCTCGTCTGCTTCTTGTTTTTCCATTTAGGTTTTTGTACTGGGTTTGCTTACCTCCTGTTTACTTTCCTCATCTTTGCTTCTCCCCTGATATATATTTTTTTAAATCCTGGTTTTGAGTTTTTGTACCCTTTTGACAACATAAGTAATTTGTGTTCTGTGGCACCTGCTGTTGCTCATTGAGACCAGTGGCATTCCAGGATTTCAGCTAACAAAGTCGCTCGGCTCAGTGATGGAGACTGCCTTGAGGAGAAGGCTCACTTTCGCAACCAGTAGGCCTCAAATGACGAGCACACAGAAAAGGCTGGTAAAGAGGTTGACAGGACCAGTAAAAATCTAGTAGGAACAGGGTTCTTTGTGCACAGCAAAGCAAGATGTTGGTGAAACTGGGGATTCTCAGCTCATGGGCAGCAAATTTTCAAAACATCAGTATGGCCTGGCTAAATTTAGAGCCGTTAATTGCGCAAATGTTTTTCTACTAATGTGTTGTCAGTAGCTAAAGGAAGCTGGGCCGATGAGAACTTTTTTTTTTTTTTTTGATGCTCCATTGCCCACTAATGCAGCCACTGTGACCAAGCGTCTATTTTTGGATGGCGACTGTGACAGACTTAAGTTAGCATTAAGGCGGCTCCTTTTCTGTTACACCTACTGAGGCTACGCTGTTCACCAGCTGTGCTTTCTCAGATGAAGACTGGGCTAGTGTTGAGTCAGTGAAGCTGCAAAGGCTAAACGTTGCTGGGTAAGCTTTTCAATTAAAGTACATTTTGAGCCAAGCCCTCCAATGTAGGTGTAGATACTTGGGCATGATGGAGGGTCGACTTTGACCCAATGGGCCTCTGGAGTTTGTTGGACCTGTTGGAATGGTTTTTTCGTGAATGCTGCTCTGCATAAATGTGTTTAGATGCTGATATCGGGGATGTGGTGAGCTGAATGTTCTTTTGTGGATGATGTCTACACTATTACAGTGGTTGTGAGTGGGAATAGGGCTGCAACTACTTATGTTGATTATGTTGTCAATTAAGCAATTAACGAGATGTTTGGTTGAGAAGAAATTGTTTCCCACAGCCCAAGATGACCTTGTTTAATGTCTCGTTTTGTCTACAACCAAAGATATTCAGATTACTATCACAGAGCTGTAAAGAAGCCACAAAATATTCAAACTGAAGATGCTCTATTCAGAGAATTTAGACTTAGTCCTTTAAAAACATACTTAAAATAGTTCATTTAAGATGTGTTAAATGACTAATAATAGTTTGGAGCAGTCCTGTTTCTTTTGGCGTCCATATTGGCAGTGGATTGATTGACCTGCTGTGATGTTCAGACAGAGGTGCCCTTTGTAGACACTTGCTGCTAACCCCTATACAGGCATGACTGAATCAAATTGTGTTTAAAATCGGTAACTGCATCCCAAATTCCATTGTGGCTTAATTGTTATTACCTGGATTGGTTTGTTGATTACACACGTTCTCCACTCCTGATGCTGATGAAGGCTTCATTCACTGTTTAACTTTCAGACTCTCAGTACGACTTCATATCTGAAGACTCTTACACATTGTTCTCGAATGTGAAATCAAAAAGCACCAAGTGTAGTCGTTAAACTGTCTCAGAGGAGGTTGATATAGTCTGCTAATCTTTCAAGTTGTAGCTTTCTTGATCTTTGCACTTGCTATGCCTTTGAATGTGTGGTTTTGGTGAAAACCAGTCTTCCTGTGGTTGAGACTTTTCTGTTGCTATTGTTGCCTGCTGGTTAGCTTCTAAACTTGTCAAGAATAGAAAACACAGATTGTGTTTTTTTTTTTTCTTTCAATTTGTGACCAAGATGATGGCTTGTGTTCACGCTTTTTACTTCAGGTGTTTCCATCTTAGTTGTGTTATCAGACACACTGCTGTCTCTTCCTGTCAAGTCCTGTGTACCTCCCTCACTCCTCCTCTATTTCAAGGTCAACATTCATCAGTGTCCCAAAAACAAATGAAGAAAAAAAAAAGAAGCAACAACAAACCGCATCTTTAAAAGGAAAAAGTATATTTTGCAGAAATAGTGTAACATTATTACAAGATCACACCTTGACAAGATGAGTGCCACTGAAAACATTAATTTCGCCATTGGATGCATTTGAAGTAGACCCCATCCAGGAGTGGTAGGAATAGCAAGATTACATTGGTGAAAATAACAACACAATATATCACACTGAATAAAAATAAGCATGCACTCTGAACGTGTCAGCTTTCATATCCAAATTAACTCTCTGCTTACTTTTACGTACAAGTCATGATGGCAATCTCACCAGCTCGAACCTAGTGAGATTTGCGTATTACTTTGAACATAGCTGAACTGCACAGAGTCACGCTAACAGATGGACAAACAAGTGACGAATTTCTGAGAGAGAGTTGCATTTCCGCATGTAGCACACCAGGCTAACTTCATTAATTACTTATCGGTCTCAGTCATCAGATGTAGATTCATGCGGCTTTCTGCTCCCCTTTCACTACCTGTGTGTTGCCATTTTCAAAATCCCTTCGCTGTGGCCAACTGCTGCTAAGCAGCAACCTACAGGCTAAAAATGGCAAGTTCTGCCAAGGAATCGAGTTGTGCATTAAGACAAGCCATCTTGCTTCTTTTGGTGGAGTAGCCATTTTAATGATTGCACTTCCTGCATGCAAATTTGCCATCAAAACAATTTGCAGGGACGTTATCGTCACATCCTGGACTAGGTACTGCCCAAGATGACTGTTGCTGGTGTGAAATAAATACAAACAAATCAGAATATTTTTTTGACCCTATAGCAGGATAATATGTGGTACAGCTAGACCGTTCTTCAGTGCTGTCACAGAACAGTGGAGATAGGTTCAGATATGCAACACACATTCATACTTCCAATTATTAGTTCATAAATGACCCCAACATGGAGATAAAATTGGTTGGGATCTTACATCAGGCGTCGCTGTGGCCTTTCCTCAACTTCTGATGGATGTCACACAGATCTGTCAGATGCAGCTGAATCATTTGTCACATAGTGAATTTAGATGTAGAATTTTGCTTATTAGTGCATTATTATGTCATTTGGTGTCCTGTCACATGTTGGGCGAATGTCAGATCTTGTCACTGTCTGAATAAAATGCTAAACAATGTTGATGTGACCAATGTCTGATTGGCAGATCGCCGTCACTTTAACAGATCGATGAAGGCAGCAGTGTTACATATGCTATATCTTCCCCTTGTTGCAGCATAAATAAGCGCGTTTCCTCTTCTTTCCTGCCTTTTGGATGGAACATCAGCGCTGCAACTTTCAGGTCAGACTCCAGTTTCTGCAAATGAGAGCCAAACAGTTTTCACAGAGTCGACCTTATCAGAAACAATCCAATCATCAAGTTCTGAATCAAAGTGATGGAACTGACTTATACATTCAATCCACACCAAATCTTAAAAGCGGATTCACCCACAGTATTGTCTTCATGGATTTTCTTCAACACATTTCACCTGGTGTTTTGTCTTTACCTTTTACTTTTGGTATACAAAAGATCCAAAAGGATGAATAAGGAAACATACAGTACCTGTCCTGAACCTCCTTTTGACGACAACGCCAATGATGATCTTGTTGAGAACAACAGTCACGCCGCTCAGGATCACGCTCATCAGGCTCACTGATTCACCAGACTCCTCTACAGAAGCAGTGTCACTACCTTTACAAATGATGATGACAGCAACATTATTCGGTTTTATTTATCTGATGTAGAAAATTCCTTTACAAGCTAACAACGTGGAAACAAGATACTTCACACATTCTTACCTTGAACCTGTACATATGCTGAGCTGACAATCACTGGGTGTGTTCTTATGGTATATCCACAAAAATAAAACCCAGAGTCAGATGAATCCACATGTTTGAGTTTGAGAAAGAGAGTCGAGCTGTTGGATGTCAGTTCAAATTTGTCATTTTCCACTCCACTGCAGAGTGAAGCGGGCTGAATAGAACTGAAAATGGATGAAATACAGCGCGGATGGGTTCCGTTGAATAGTCTAAACCAGATTATCTGAGTAGGAGAACTGGAGAAGTTGGAGCACAGCAGAGTGACGTCTTCACCAGGCTGGACCTTCACCGTCTGAGACTCAGTAGCCGACAGAGAGAGGCAGCCTGAAACAAACAGCAAAGACAACAGTTTTAGTAGCTTGGACATAATTTAGAGTACACTTTTTGGTAGAAATTCAGAACCAATACTTACTGAGGCTGCAGAGAAGTAAAGCGGTTCCAACGGTACACCACATCATCGTGTATATGAAAACCTTTTGTTCCAGTGCAAAGCTTTCGGTAAAGAGGAGGGCTTTATTTTCTATGTTTAGTCTGTCGCTCTTCACCTTCACCACATAACTTACCATATCATGCAGAGATTGTGTTCTGTTTTCAGGGAAGCACTAAGACAGGTAAAGGCTTGAGGTGCACCTTTTCTGCCTTTTTGCCATCATTGCAGCATGCATGATGCTAATTAAGGAGATTAGACGATCTGGATGTGAGTTGCAGTGATGCAATGCAAAGATGTTGGATTTGAAATTTGCACCTAAGATGTGTTACTGATAATAAATGAACCAAATCTTCCTGCGGTGGTGTGCATGTCCCGCTGTCAGTCCTAAATATGCTAAGAAGACACTATCTTTTGGCCGTGCAGTTATATTGCCGTATACGACATTTTATTTCTGCAAGCAGGGTGCTGATATACTACATTGAAAGATAAAGACATGAATTGAGCTTGGGAAGAAGGTAAAGGTTTAAAAAGAAACGACCTCAGTGCTGATGAGACTGATACGATTTGCAGATTGTAAAAGAAAGAAGCGTTGGTGTGAAAGTTGTGCAGCTTTTGTTGCATGTGGTTTTATTGCAGAGAGCTAAAGGCTAGTCTCTCTGTGGTTTTTGTTTTTTTGTTTTGGCTGATACACAGCGTTGTCACCACAGTGGAAAATTTCTGGGGGAGGGGGCACAAAAGTTGTGGCTTGTGTGCATGCAAACATAGTCGAGAAAAAAAAAAAGAAGAAAGCTTTGTATTTTTAATAAGCAGGTTCACTTTGTTAGGATAAAATAAGATTAAAACAATAATATTCAGTAAATTCAGGAATATTAAGTCTAATGAAAATACAGTATTTGCTATAGTAAACCTTGACTGCTTGTGTTTTGTAGTAAGGCTGCCGTAGAATCCAGGCGTTCTATGAGTTCTGGTTATCAGGAGACTTTGTTTTTTCTTGTTGTTCATTATTACCGACAATTTTTTTAAAAACAGGAAGTCGATTGTCGCCAGGCCTGACGTCTTCCTGTGGTGAGGACCTTTGTTCTAACACATACAGTCAATGTTTGACACCACAAGTTGTTCCATTATAGTTTTTTAAAAGTACATACAAGCTAAAGGTTGATTTCATTTAGTCAAAATCAGGTCTTCTCACTGCTTCTTTTTCTGCTTCTCTGTACAGCTCGACTGACGGTGGAGGCATTTCAGTTGTGCTCAGACCACACTGTGCTGCCTCTTCCTGTGAAATGATGTGAATCTCATTCACACCTCCTCCTCCTGGCAGACGATTCGACCGCCCCTGTGAGCACGTTTGACGCTCGCAAGTAGGAAGTTAATGAGGACAGACACAAAGCAATGCCAGTTGTCTATGGCTATAGTAGCTTTATTACAAAGAAATGATTTCGTCATCACCCATATAGCAAAGCATGCCTATCTGCTGGCAGTGTAAATGACACGAGTTTCCACTTCTCTGTCTGATGCAGGCCTTCTGTTTCTCACTGCTCTTGTCACCAGCGCTGCAGAGTTCAGGTCATAGGAGTCCAAATTCTGTAAATGAAGTACTTTGAATCAAAAAACACTGAAAACATCACAGACTGTACTTGTCCTACTTCTGTTTGTTACAGTCTGATACTGTATGGGAGACAATCAGTCATAGCCAAACTTCTGTGAAGCCCAGGAAAGGCCTGAAGGCCACCAGGTTCTTTTGACAAATTCATATTTGGTCAACCTGGCCTCTGTTTAAGGGCAGTGCACAGCAGCTTGCACTGAACAGTTCAGACGCTTAACCTGTCACTGTCTCCTATGCAGGATGACACGACATGGCAACAAAAAAATGTTAACCCTCTAAACCCCAAAACTTTAAAAAACATCACTTATATGATACCATTTATCAGAGTTAGAAATTGTAGGAAGACATAAAATCATTGACTTTTTAACTGTCCAAAGCTCCATAAACTCATGATGTGAGATGTTGGGTTCCATCAGCTAAATCTAAGCTCAAAATGGTGATATTTCATCAGCATCACTTTATTCGCTCATCTCATGCTTTCAGGACTTAAAGGATCTTCTGCTAATGTGTTGGCGTCTGATACTAAAAGACACCTTCAGGTGTCTCATGGAGTCCATGTCTTGAAGTGTCAGAACTGTTTTTGGACTTATGCAGTATTTGGGAGGTGGTTTCAATGTTGTTGCTGACTGGTGCAAAGTCATGGCAAGTGGGGTGATTTAAAGGTCAGATAAGACTGAGATACGCTTAAAAGAAGTGTAAAGTAGTTCAATATGCGTTCACTACATCGACTCTAGTCTTTCAAACAGCAATGGAAACAAGATGAACGTGATAAACTACTTGTTCATAGCAACAGAAAGGACTGCCTCATATGTCGGATGCTAAGGAAACAGTTCTCATGGTCTCTGATGTTTGTGGTCTGTGGTGGAGACTATTTTTGACAAATACGTTTGTCACCTCGTGCATGAGTGTATTCTATATATATACTTTGTACATTTTAAATGTCTAAATAGAGCAGCTGCTTTAATTTCATGACAGTTACAGTGTTTTGATGCTGTCCAACAGAGCTTTTAACTTTCAAGGCCTTTTGGTTTTCACCTCTCTTGTGCTCAGACCACACTTTGCCGTCTCTTCCTGTCAAACGCTGATGTACATTTCACTCCTCCCACTGCAGACCACTTTGCTCTGTCCGTGAGAGCGTTTCACACTCATCTCTACCTTCTGTGACTCCTCCTCTATCACAATGAGTTTTCTTTCTCCTCTCAGACAACAAGCAGACGTAACAGGAGAGACAAAGACTTTGACCACAGCACAGACAGAAAACAAGCTCAAATATGTTCAGCCTGAATACAGAAACTTTATTTTTTGCTCGGACTCATTTCACCCCACACACACACACACACACACACACACACACGAATACATCAGCAGGTGAATATGAAAAAGCCTGAGTTGAACTCTGAGCTGCAGTTCCAGGTGCGTCCTCAGTTTATCTGGTGGCGGCATACACAACATGAGGCTCCACTGCTCTGACAGGTGCAGGCCTGCGGCTTCTTTTCGATCTTGCCTGGAAAGTTACAGCTGCATAGTTCACGTCATCTGACCTCAGATTCTGAAAAGTAGAATATTTAGAGTCACACACTGTATCACACACACTGGAGCTTTGCCACAAATCTGTGCGGCTTTGAGTCGTAATCATAGTTTGGTTAATTTTGTCACGGTGAAAAGCAAAACCTGAATATTTAGATACCATATTAAAATATATGGTAGAGACGCTGAGTTATGATTGTATAACAGAACCAGTATTGCTATAACTTACAGTGGTTGCACTGGATTTTTAAAAAATCACTTATTTGCTGCTATTTACTGTTTTCAGCTGTACTTTGGAAACTTTATGCAACTAGCTGGTATGGTCGTAACAGCACAGGAAAAAGTCTCAATTTTCTAAAGTAAAATCAATCCTTTGGAAGTACAGCTGTTGGATTTTGTTTACATTACTGTTAGCAAAATCACCAATATTTGAACTGCCAGTACCACATTTGAGACTGGACAATAGTTTTGAAATCTGATTGAAGGTCTCTTTTTAGGGTTGAAGAGGTGAGAGATTATAACTCTCTGCTTGCCTGAAGTTGCTGTTTGACAATTCTACGATTTCATTTGACAGACGCTTTTATCCAAAGCGAAGTACATCTAAGCGCAGATTCAACACAAGCAAGGATTGTTTTCGGTTTGTCAAGTGCCAAGGTGTTCAGTGGCGAGCTGGGTCTTTAGTCTTTTCTTAAAGACTGAGAGGGAGTCAGCAGATTGAACAGAGTTTGGTAGCTTGTTCCACCAGTGAGGAACCACAGAGGAGAAGAGTCTAGCTATTGACCTCTGGCCCTGTTGCAGTGGTATCAGGTGGTTTTTGTTGGTCGAGTGTAGTGAGCGGGAGGGAGTGTAGGTCTGAATGAGAGCGTTCAGGTAGGAGGGAACTGTTCTCGTTGTGGTTTTGTAAGCAAGTGTCAGGGTTTTGAATTTGAGTCGCGCAGCAACTGGAAGCCAGTGAAGCGATCTGAACAGCGGGGTGACATGTGCTGTTTTTGGCTGGTTGAAAACCAGACGTGCTGCTGCATTCTGGATTATCTGCAGAGGTTTGACCATGGATGCAGGGAGGCCTGCCAGTAAGGAGCTGCAGTAGTCAATGCGTGATATTATGAGAGCCGTACCAGGAGTTGTGCTGCAGATTCAGACAGGAAAGGTCTGATCTTCCTGGTGTTGTACAGGGCGAATCGACATAACCGAGCAACAGAGGCCACATGAACCTCGAAGGTTCGTTGGTCATCAATCATGACACCCAAGTTTGTGGCAGATTTTGTTGGTTTGAGTTGTGTTGAATCAAGCTGGATGTTGATTTCTTGTTGTAGAGAGGGACTAGCTGGGATGACAAGGAGCTCAGTCTTAGACAGGTTGAGTTGAAGGTGGCGTTTTTTTCATCCATGCTGAGATGTCTGCAAGACATGATGAGATCCGGGCAGAGACCGTGTGGTCGTCAGAGGGGACTGACAGGAAGAGCTGGGTATCATCAGCATAGCAATGGTATGCGAAACCATGGGCCTAGATTATTGCACCAAGTGAGGTTGTGTAAATTGAGAAGAGAAGGGGACCAAGCACTGACCCTTGAGGAACCCCTGTGGATAGGTTGTGTGATTCGGACACTTCTCCCCACCAGGATACTCTGAAGTATCTTGCTGAGAGGTATGACACAAACCAGCTGAGGGCAGATCCTGAGATGCCAAGCTGAGTCAGTGTGTGGAGAGAAGGATGTGATAGTTAACCGTGTCAAAGGCAGCTGACAGATCTAGCAGCAATAGAGCTAAAGACTGTCCAGCAGCTCTAGCAGAACGCACTGATTCTGTTTCAGATAGATGTGCAGTCCCAGTAGAGTGACCCCGTTTAAAACCAGACTGATATGGGTCATACAGATTGTTGTCACAGAGGAAAGTAGAGACTAGATTGAAGACAGTTTGCTCAAGTATTTTAGACAGGAAGGGCAGTAGTGGAACCGGTCTGTAATTTTCAACCTAGGCTGGGTCGAGTGTAGTTTTTTTAAGTATTGGAGTGACTGGAGCTTGCTTAAATGTAGCAGGGAACACACCCGTAGCAAGTGAGGAGTTGATGATATGTGTTATTGCAGGGTTAAGTGCTGACGCCACAGGAAGAGGTTAATATAACAAACGATGTACAAAAGTTTAAAAAAAAGGGTTTACCTCACTTTTTTCTGCCTGTGATCCTCCATTCACAGCTAAACAGCAAACACAAAAGTCTGATTACTGACAGTACTCTTATCTTTGGACTTCTCAGTTTGGAATGTGCAACAGGTTCTAAACCATCTGTACCTTTCTGAAGCTTCCAGATTTGTACAGCCAGCACAATGACTACTATGGTGAGCCCAGCAGTCACACCACCCAGGATCACGCTCATTAAGTGTGTCGTTCTGTCAGGTTTGTCTACGACAAGAACATATATTAAACTGTAAAGTTAAGCTTTAGATATGTGGTTTATAATGACATTACTACAATAAAATGTACAATTTAAGATCCCTACTGACAGTCTGATGATCCCCTTCATCATTGGATTCATTATTTCCTGTAAAGAAACATCAGCATTATATTATTTCATATGAATTTACCCTCTGAAACCTGCTGGCAGAGTTTAAAGGCATGTTTTCTTATTCAAAAAATGACACAAATTAGACCATTTATCAACCAGAAAGCATAAGAATTTCATGATTTTTAACTTTTTCACAGTCTCTCAACATATCATGTGTGACGCCTTGTTCTGTTACATGAAACTAACTGCTATATCTAAGCTTAACACTGGGCTATTTCCACAAAATCAATATATTCCACGTCTCATTCGGACAAATTGTTAGACATAAACAGTTTTTGCTGTGTTACTCAGTGCAATCAAGAAGCCTGAAGTTGACTCAGCTGGGACCAACAGTCAATATATTGTGTGACTTTCTGGCTTTTGACTGTGTTCGAACAGAGCAGAGAGGAGATGAAGAGAGAGATTAGAAAGAAAGTAAAACATAGCAGATCAAAAGAAAAAAAAAGCTGCATTTCTCATAAAGAGTATACAGAGGAGCAAGTTTTTAAAAGATACATTCAACATTCAAAGATTCTACATTTGCAAAAAAAATGTCTATAGTATGTAGAGCCACTATTTTCTTTCCAGTATTGCAGTATTGGCAACACCTGTAGCTACTTGGAAAAACATTCTACAAATTTATTAGACCACCACCGAATGTGAGGTTAATGCAACTAGCTTTTGTTGTGCACTTTCCATTGAGTTGCAGGACTTTATATTGCATTGAAAAATGAGTCCTCAGTCAGCAAAAATGTGATGGGAACAGAGCTGTTCTCACGCTACTGTGATAGTAAATTAAAGACATGCTTTTTATGTATTAATTAAAATATAAATTGACAGAGAACTTTATCTTACCTTGAATCTTTAGCTCAACTGAAGTGGAAATGACTGTGTGGTAATTTATGTAAAATCCACAGAAATACAGCCCGATGTCTGATACATCCACTCGCTTGATCTTAAGAAAGAAAGTGGTGACGTTGGAACTCATTTCAAATTTTCCATTTTGAAATCCATCACAGTATGAAACATTGGCGTCAGCAAGAAACATAGAGGAGATGCAGCTGGGCTTTGTTCTGTTGACCACTCGGAACCACTCTGTGGGAGTTATAGTGGTGGAAATCTTGGAGCACATCAGTGTGACGTCTTCACCAGACTGGACCTTCACAGTGTGAGACTCAGAGATGCAGCCTGAAACATAGAGCAGAGAGAACGTGAGCGTTACTGTAGTTATCATCAATTAATTGTGTTAGTTCACTTTCTAATCAGCAATTTTGATTTCTAGTTGTTTTGTTGCTGAGAATGACGAGGTTCCAGTACTTACTGAGGCTGCCAAGAAGAAACAAAGCTGGTTGCAACATAACGATCCTCATTGTGCAGGTATTGGTGTCACTGCAAGGATAGTTTGCATTACCCAGCCCCTATAAAGAGGTTTAGGTGGGCGGAGTGTAATCTGTTTTTCATCCTGCTGTGCGCAATACAATGTCTTTGCTTGTAGCACCAGTACCTTAAACATTAAAATATGGCTCAGTAGAAAAGTTCTGTGTTAGGAGCCCTGATATCTTATGTCATATCTGCATTAAGTGCATTTTGAAATAAAGATTATCAAAAAAGACTTGCAGATGCATGAAGAGCAACTCTTCGGCAACTCCTGCAAGTGTCCTCATCTCATCCCTCGTGGTCTGGTATGATGAGTAAGATGTAAAAACGAGACAAAGTGAATTTTTTGGGGGATTTTTTATTTTTTTTAAACTTCATGCTACTTTGTAAGGATACTGTTTGGATTATTTCCAAAGGTGTTCCATGATCTTTTCCTAAGGAACTGTGTGCAAAATGTGCATTTAAAAACCTTTTTTGGGCCTTGTTGGTGCACATAGCTGTCCTGGTGACGTTATCTCTTATTTTTAAACCTTTACAATTGCTTTTCCATTTGCATGTAAAGCAGATGTGGACCCTTGAGTTCTGGTTCCATGTAGCTGGTTACATAACAACAGTCAAAAAGGTCCGTACGTGGTTTTTATTTCTCAAGTTAGAAGATATAAATCTGTAACACATTATAGTTGGTTAGCCTTTGCTGGACTCAGATGATCCTTAATGAATATTTAAAACCTGCATTGTTAATATCTTAATAAAAAGATGGAAAATGTTGTTATTGTGGCCACTCTTTTCTGTCAGGAAGCCCCATGATACATCATGGATATACTGTATATCAGCTAAGAAGGCTCTGTAGGAACTGTGTGCCATTATTTCCATGTGAGTCCATAGAGGAGCAACTTTGTGGAATCAGTCTTCTTCAAGATGTTGAGTCATGATGCATGCTTCTGAGATTATGTATACTGTTGTGTGCAGTAAAAATCAGCAGGATCGTATCTAAGCTGAAATAGGGCAACAGGCAGGTTAGATCCTGGACAGGTCGCCAGTCCAGGGTGAACACAGAGAGACGCATAGCCATGCACACTCACACTTGATTTAGAAACTTGTTAAAACCAGTTAATCGGCTATTCGGCTATTCTGGTCCAGCCCTAAACTTAAGCATGTCTTTGCACTGTAGGAAGAAGCTGGAGCACCTGGTGAAAACCCACACAGGTGATGATGGAGAACACGCAACCTCCACACAGAAAGACCAGATCCAGCCGTGGAGGTGACACGAACAAGGTACTGCACCACTATGTCGCCTTACGTATGTTAATGTCGAATGTAAAGACGCTGAGGGACGACATGATCACCATTTATTATTATGTTAGACTGTGCTGGTCAAGGTGTGGGATAAGTAGGCAGTAAGTGATGAATCAGTCTTTGAAGTTAATGTGTTTTAAAAAAAAGGAACTTCGATAAGCACCATATTGTGATGGCTGGACAACTGGGTCCACAAAACAACAGATCTTGTGTGGTGTTCCTTGTATGCAGTGGTCAGTACCCACCAAACTGGTGCAAGGGGGAACACACTGTGAACTCATGACAGGGTTATGGGTGCTCACCAATGCGTGTAGGGAGTAAAGGCTGGCCTCTGTGTGCTGATTCCACAGATGAACCACTTTAGCACAAACTGCTCAAAACCTCAAAGCTGGCCATGATAGAAAGGCGTCAGAACTCTGTGCATCACTACTTCCTGTATATGGGGCTGCTTAGCTGGAGAGGTGCCCACACTGGTTGTTGTATCCAACAAAAGTGTTTACAGTGGCTACATGAGTGTTGTAACTGGACCATGGGCCAATGGAAGAAGATGGCCTGGTTTACTGTATCATGTATTCTTTCACATCATGCGTGTTTGTTGGTAAGAGATGGCAGCAGGAGGTGCTACAGGAAGAAGGCAAGCTGGCAGAGGCAAAGTGATGCTCTCTGAAAGCTTAGGTCCTGATGTTTATGTGGCTGTAACTTTGACACCCAGCACCTAACTAAACGTTGTTGCAGATCACATTCACCCCTTCATGGCAGCAGAATCTTTTAGGAAGGATAATACTTCCTGCCACATTGCAAAAGTTGTTCAGAAGTAGTTTGAGGAACATAACAAAGAGTTCAAGGCATTGACTTGGTGTCCAGCTTCGCTGATCTAAGATTTGCATTTGTGAGATGTGCTTGAAAAAGAAGTCCAATCCATTGAGGCTCCACCTCATAACTTCCAGGACTTAAAGGATCTTCTGTTAATGTGTTGGCATCTGATACTACAAGACACCTTCAGACTCGTGGAGTCCATGTCTTGAAGTGTCAGTATTGTTTTTGGACTTCTGCAGTATTTGGGAGGTGGTTTCAATGTTGTTGCTGACTGGTGCAAAGTCATGGCAAGTGGGGTGATTTAAAGGTCAGATAAGACTGAGATACGCTTAAAAGAAATGTAAAGTAGTTCAATATGTGTTCACTACATCGACTCTAGTCTTTCAAACAGCAACGGAAACAAGATGAACGTGATAAACTACTTGTTCATAGCAACAGAAAGCACTGCCTCATATGTCGGATGCTAAGGAAACAGTTCTCATGGTCTCTGATGTTTGTGGTCTGTGGTGGAGACTATTTTTGACAAATACGTTTGTCGCCTCCATGCATGAGTGTATTCTGTATATATATTTTGTACATTTTAAATGTCTAAATAGAGCAGCTGCTTTACTTTCATGACAGTTACAGTGTTTTGATACTGTCCAACAGAGCTTTTAACTTTCAAGGCCTTTTGGTTTTCATCTCTCTTGTGCTCAGACCACACTTTGCCGTCTCTTCCTGTCAAACGCTGATGTACATCTCACTCCTCCCACTGCAGACCACTTTGCTCTGTCCATGAGAGCGTTTCACACTCATCTGTACCTTCTGTGACTCCTCCTCTATCACACTGAGTTTTCTTTCCCCTCTCAGACAACAAGCAGACGTTACACGAGAGACAAAGACTTTGACTGGAACACAGACAGAAAACAAGCTCAAATATGTTCAGTCTGAATACAGAAACTTTATTTTTTGCTCGGACTCATTTCACCCACCGCACACACACACACACACACACACACACACACATGAATACATCAGCAGGTGAATATGATAAAGCCTGAGTTGAACTCTGAGCTGCAGTTCCAGGTGCGTCCTCAGTTTATCTGGTGGCGGCATACACAACATGAGGCTCCACTGCTCTGACAGGTGCAGGCCTGCGGCTTCTTTTCGATCTTGCCTGGAAAGTTACAGCTGCATAGTTCAAGTCATCTGACCTCAGATTCTGAAAATTAGAGTATTTAGAGTCACACACTGTATCACACACACTGGAGCTTTGCCACAAATCTGTGCGGCTTTGAGTTGTAATCATAGTTTGGTCAATTTTGTCACGGTGAAAAGCAAAACCTGAATATTTAGATACCATATTAAAATATATGGTAGAGATGCTGAGTTATGATTGTATAACAGAACCAGTATTGCTATAAATTACAGTGGTTGTACTGGATTTTTAAAAATCACTAATTTGCTGCTATTTACTGTTTTCAGCTGTACTTTGGAAATTATATAGCTGGTATTGTCATAACAGCCCAACAGAAAGACTCAGTTTTCTCTTCCTTGATAAAATAACTTCTCGCTCAGCTGATGGAACATTGAATGTGTTTCAGAGGGGAAAAGTAAAATCAACCCTTAGGAAGTACAGCTGTTGTTTAGCAAAATCACCAATATTTGAACTGCCAGTACCAAATTTGAAGATTAGACTGGAAAATAGTTTTGAAATCTGATTGAAAGTCTCTTTTTAGTGTTGTAGAGAATGAGAGATTCTGACTCTCTGCTTGCCTGAAGTTGCTGTTTGACGCCACAGGAAGAGGTTAATATAACAAACGATGTACAAAAGTTTAAAAAAAAGGGTTTACCTCACTTTTTTCTGCCTGTGATCCTGCATTCATAGCTAAACGGCAAACACAACAGTCAGATTAGCTAATTATTACTGACAGTACTCATGTCTTTGGACTTTTCAGTTTGGAATGTGCAAAAGGTTCTAAACCATCTGTACCTTTCTGAAGCTTCCAGATTTGTACAGCCAGCACAATGACTACTATGGTGAGCCCAGCAGTCACACCACCCAGGATCACGCTCATTAGGTGTGTCGTTCTGTCTGGTTTGTCTACGACAAGAACATATATTAAACTGTAAAGTTAAGCTTTAGATATGTGGTTTATATTGACATTACTCCAGTAAAATGCACAATTAAAGATCCCTACTGACAGTCTGATGATCCCCTTCATCATCGGATTCATTATTTCCTGTAAAGAAACATCAGCATTATATTATTTTATACGCATTAACCTTCTGAAACCTGCTGGCAGAGTTTAAAGGCATGTTTTCTTATTTGAAAAAAAAAAACAGAATTGTTCTCACGCTAATGTGATTATAAACTCAAGACATGCTTTACATGCGATAATTAAAAAGTAAATTGACAAAGAGCTTTATCTTACCTTGAATCCTCAGCTTAACTGAAGTGGAAATGACTGTATGTTCTCTTATGTAAAATCCACAGAAATACAGCCCGATGTCTGATACATCCACTCGCTTGATCTTCAGAAAGACAGTGGTGACGTTGGAACTCATTTCAAATTTTCCATTTTGAAATCCGTCACAAAGTGAACCATTGGTGTCAGCATTATACATAGAGGAGATGCAGCTGGGCTTTGTTCTGTTGACCACTCGGAACCAGTCTGTCTGAGTTGAAGTGGTGGAAATGTTGGAGCACATCAGTGTGACGTCTTTACCAGACTGGACCTTCACAGAGTAAGACTCAGAGATGCAGCCTGAAAGAAAGAGCAGAGAGAACGTGAGCATGATAAATTTAACGCCAACTGCTTTACAATTTAACATTAATAGTAAAGGTCTGGATTGAAAAGACAGTTTTCATGTTTTTGCTGCTGAGAATAATTCAATACGGCACTTACTCTGGCTGCAGACAAGTAAAACTGTGATCGCTGTGCAGCCCCTCATCCTGCTTATCACACTGTCACAATCAGGTCACTTTATATGTGTCATGAGCAAGGGGCGTGGAACTGAGTGCATGTTCCGAAATGGCTCAAAAAAAATGAACTCATCATGCATCATGGAAGACAGCCACACCTTAAGTCTTGAGTGTTGCACAAGAGTTTGGACATAAAATCAAGATCATATTTTGTTATTTATTCAGTATACAGGTGGATGGTACGGTGTTCTAACCATAACCCAAATCCTAACCCTGTTCAATTAGTTACTTTGCAAATCGCCTGTGTAAGATAAACCTGGTCCCAGACAGCACTGTATTCACCCACAGGTTCTATCTCCAGATGTGCAGGAGCCACTACTCCTGTGTGCAGCTGTTCTCAGTTGAAACTCAACTTACAAATCCCCATTCTGCGGAGTTACTACATAACCAGCAAGACAGATAAAATCACATCTGACTCACCACATTATCAAGCTAGTCCCCTCCAGGAGGCACTGCAGATCTCTGCCCGGCCTCAAGCACAGTTTCATTTCCACTGAAGTAAATACTTAGCATTACCCAATGTCGGTGTAGATGGTGTGAACGTAGCTAAAGAAAAACCCTGTTCTGGTAGCCGAAGAAGAGCAAAATAATTGGCAGTACGTTTTGTGCGTTGCCCACACAGGGATTTCTACTGCGTACATGTTTGACCTTCTCGGCTCTGTACATCAGTCTGGCTTCAAAGGGAGCCACAGACGGACTTAAGTGCTATGAGAAACGTTTCTTTCACCTTTTCTGAGTTGGTCTGTTTAGTGTTTGTGGTTTTTACATCCCCTTGAAGAAGGCAAATGATTGACAATGGGGACAGAAAAACAAAACTAACGTACACATCTTTACTGCTTGATGTTGGTAGCAAACAGTGTGATTGGCCACCTGAAAGTTTAAAGTTTATCTGACGTTTGACATGTTTTGCGTTCGGCCTGGGTGGCGTTCACTTCATGAGCAGCGATAAGGAAACTGTTTGATGATGTTCAGTAGCTTTTATCTAATTGTTTTTGTGTGTAATTAAAATTATTACCTGTTTGCCTTGATAAATACGGTTGTTAAACTCAAAATAAACTTTTTTTTTTCATTGAAAATTATCAATATTGACTAAAAGGAAACATTTTATGAAAAAAGTAAAAAATGTAGCGACCTTGTCAAGCCATTTTCTCTCTCATCATTGTGTTATTCGATTCATTTCCTATTGGGGCCAAAACAGATGCTTGAGGTGTCACAGAGTTCGACCCTCTTACCAGCCAATCAGACGCAGCCCCAGTTTTAAGCAGGCGTCTGCTGTATTGGTAAAAGCTTTCAGTGGCCAACACCTCTGAGAGGATGCACCCGTACGTGATCATCTGTGGAGTGTGTAAGTCTCTGAACACAAAATGTATTGTAGCTGTGAGTCTAATTAAAGCTATAAATTGATTGGCAAAATTCTGTTTATTGACGATTATGTATTTTCTTGACCCAGTTCATCTGTCAGCTGTGATCCAGTCGCAAACACTCAGACAGGACACCGGAGTGAAAGCCGTCACCGTCGGGGATGATGTGACTTTATTTTGCTTCTATAACAGCCAAGTGGCGATGCACTTCTCCTGGTACCGACAGCAGCTAGGAAGCAAACCTGAGCTCCTGTCCACGATTTACAAATTTGGTGATTCGTCCAAAGTCTTCTCCTGGCTGGAGAAGAACCCCCGTTTCACCGTGGAAAGGGACGAAGGGATGAATCATTTAAAAATCTCCGACATCCAGCTCTCAGATTCGGCCACTTACTACTGTGGGAGCTCACATTCCAACATGGTGGAGTTTGGAGAAGGAGTCTTTCTGAGTGTTAAAGGTATTGTGTTCTTGTATTATCATTGGTGTTGGCTTGAGATGGGTTTTTTGTTTTAGTGTTCGTTGTGTATGAAAATATATGTTTAGAGAAGTAAATACAGAGCAGAGATTTTGTAACTCTTGATAGTTTTAGTCAAATTAGCTCATCATAACTTTTCATAAGGATAAAGAGCAACCAGTCAGTAGAAATAAAAGCAAGTTAGCGGGCTGTAAAACTCAAATCATGTGCATTGATCTTAATAGCTGCATGTTTTATTGGCTTCTGAGCTAAACTAATCCGAATTAAGAATCATTAGATGTTACAAATTTTATTCCTTAATTGACATTTTTACTGTCATTCAATCCAAGAACAGAAATTAAACAAAACAAAAAATAACAAGTCCCACGAAACAAAAAATATTTAATACACATAAATGCATATAAATTCCAAAATAAAATGAGAGGCTACAATTACACTACATTTACAAAAATCAAGTGTAAGAAAAGCTATTTTCTCCGTGTGTGGTAATTCTGTTTAGGAGCTACGCGCCAGCACCAGGGAATCATCCAGGAGCCAGCATCAGAGACCATCCCTCCAGGAGGCTCTGTGTCTCTCAACTGCACAGTAAACACTGGGTTCTGTGACGACGAACCCAGCGTCTACTGGTTCCGACACGGATCTCGTCAAGGAATCCTTCACGCGCACAGGGATCGGTGTAAACCCGTCTCTGCGCCGGCGCCTCCCTCACAGAACTGCGTGTACCATCTGCAGAAGGTGAACCTGAGCTCCTCGGATGCTGGGACCTACTACTGTGCCGTGGCCTCCTGCGGGGAGATTCTGTTCGGAAATGGAAGCACGCTGCTGGTCGGAGATGCTGTCGAAGACCAAGTGGCCCAGATAAGAATCTTAGCCTGGCTGTCTATCATTAGAACGGGGATTCTCCTGTTCTTTCTAACTGTTTGTCTCATTGTTTATGTCAGTAAGACCTGTTAAAATCCATGCAGCCACAGATGTAACATAACCAAATTACTCAAATTACCCTTTGCATTATTTAACTTAGTCTAATAAAACTTCGCCTTTGGTCTGTGCTGGTTGTTGCGCACACGTATGCTTCTTTTGTTTGGCTCTAACTGAAATTATTTGGCTGTGATTATACAAAATACTGCTGGTTTAAATAGTGACACTTGCACCAAATTTATAATAACCACCATTTAATGGGTTGACAGAGTTTCAACACACCATCAGTGTAGGTTCAGGATGATTGCTGACATAGACTGTCAGTCTGAAACTCATCTACGTTGTGAAATTCATATAAAACAATGAGTCAGCGGTTGACAGGGCAGCACAGTTGACCGCACAGTTGCTGAAAGGTGTGAATGCAATGCATTCTGTTGCCTCTAACGTTCTCTCTTATGTAAATATAGCTGCTTTCTTGTTGTCTTTAACTTAAGTGTTCGGTGATTTTAGTAGACGGCGTCGTGGTTATCAGGATTTTAGCGTTACGCAGCAGATGCTCGGAAGTGAATGCTGGTTAACATGTAGCTTGAATGGCTTTTATGCGTTTTAATCACTATTTCATCTGACAGCAGAATCAGAAAAATATGTAAATCAAAGCATCTTTATAAATCCAAAAGAACAAAATAAGTTTAGGTTGAATTACTGAATATCTTCAGGGTGGAGTTTCTTTGCAACAAAACGAAGGCATCCTGCTTAAAACCACATGTATGTGATAACAAAGAAAGCACAGCGTTTCAAGTAGGCCAAACTCTCCCACCATCTATGAAGTTTCTCTCGAGTTTCTGCTGACCACAGCAGTGTGACAAAAAAAAGACTCAAAGGTGTGACCTTATTCTGCAGCGAAGCTGAAATGTCACTGCATGTGAGACGTGAAAGAAAGTCGTACCGCGCGGTTTTCTTTTTTTGCGAGTTTATTTGAGGTAGACGCACATTAGTTCAGGAAAAAGAACAGTCCGCTCACTCATATGTGATGTTCAGTTGATTTCAGCAACTTCATTTATGTGAGCACAGTAAAGCTGCCAAAAACTGAAAATGTCTGTTTCTAGATCAGATTTGTGATATGTACAGATATATATGCAACATTTAAATAACCCCAATACTATAAAGCTGTTGTGTTTCTGGATACTCTGAAATCATTGTCACCACATTTTCTGTGCTTATATGTATGCGTATTTAAAATCAGTGCTCATTAACAAGAAATAAAAGTTTAGTTTTTTGTTTTGTTTTTGCAAACTGTCTTTATTTTCTTGTATTGGTTAATAATGTTACACTGTCTGTAGAGAGCGGGGATTTATTTATTTTCTTGGTTTTGCGAAATTCTTAAACTTAATTTCCTTTGTTATTTAAATATCAGTCATGCTTTGTGCTACATTTGTAAATGTAAAGAAAATTAAGAGCCAACTGTCAGGTATTTCAATCAATTTTAAGTACATTTACATTCACTTATTTTCAGTTTTTTTTAAGTGAGTTCTAGATTTATAGAAACACATCACAATTACACACAACAATAAGACCTTTATTATAAAATGCAAGTATGAAACATGATTTTTTTTGCTGTATTGCATCAAATTTGTGAGTTGAAGTTTGACAACAATGACGAAGCAATCATCCATCCATTATCTATACACCGCTTAATCCTCACTAGGGTCGCGGGGGGGCTGGAGTCTATCCCAGCTGACTCAGGGTGAAGGCAGGAGACACCCTGGACAGGTCACCAGTCTATCACAGGGCTACACTTGGAGACAGACAACCAAGCACACTCACATTCACACCTACGGACAATTTAGAATCACTAATTAACCTCAACATGTTTTTGGAACTTGTGGGAGGAAGCCGGAGAACCCGGAGAGAACCCACGCTGCATGGGGAGAACATGCAAACTCCACGCAGAAAGATCTCTGGTGTCCTCACCGGGACGTGAACTGGCGACCTTCTTGCTGCGAGGCAACAGTGCTAACCACTGAGCTACCTTGCAGCAAGAAGAAATCAATTTAATTTAAAAATACCAAAGTGACTCATTTTTTAAAAAAAATTTCAGACTGGAATTGTGTCTGCTTGAAACTATTTACAAAAGTGATTCAGTTGAAATGTACAAAGCGAGTATTTAGTACAATGTTTAAAGTCAAATATACAAAATAATTGTTATTCTTTCCAACACTGTGTTTAACTCCTGTCATTTTTGAAAAAAAAAAAGAAAAATTCAGAACAAATATAAAATGCAAAAGTAAAAATCCACAAAAGTGTACTTTTCAGCTTTAAACTCTGGAAGCAAACGCCAACTAAGTGATTGCTGCCATTTTTACTGCTTGAAAAGGTCGCGTTGATGCCTCGGTGAGTAAGAATGTCGCTCCTCTCCTGTTCAGCCGTCTTGAAAGTGATGTTCACGTATACGTCTGCTTGATCACAATGTCCCGTTGTTCCTGTCCTCACAAGCCTGTCTGTCTCTGACTGCACTTAACATCGGAGTAAACCACCATGTCTTCGTTGCATTTGACTGGAGCTGGTCGGCAGGAGGAGATTCTGGCAACTGAAGTCACTGCTGCATAGATAACCGGATCTCTATCCTGAAACACATGAAAATATAAATATTTTACACTTGCCCTGAATGCAGTTGAATGACACAAACATTTTAGAACCTGACTAAACCAATTTCTTCTATTGATAATCATTGCAGCTATTCATATATTAAATAAAACTGCACAACTTGACGACAAAGTGTTGAATAATTGAAAAATAATGTTGAATTTCTGTCAAATTCTTCCTCGATTACGCACAAGAGTATTCCAACATCACAGCTCTGATATTGCCACATTCCAGACCATCTAATTATTATAAATATATCTCTACTGCCAGCATTTTATAGTGAGATACATGTAAAAACACAATATCATGCCATAAAATATTATTTAACTTGATATAAAGTCTAATGAAGAAAATCTGCATATCAAATGAAAAAAAAACAAAAAACAAGATTTAACACGGGTTGAGCTTACTTGATTGTTTTCTTCAGTTTCATTGCTGCATCTGGACGAGGCTGAAAACAAAGATAACCGTCACTGCTGGTTTCTACAGAGTATAACGCAGCACATCGCTCTGCAGATATATTCAGTGTACTGCATGGCTTTACAAACCTTCAGGTTCTTTCTTGCGGTTCTTGCAGAGTGTCCATACAAGCAGGAGTGTCACCACACCAAAGATGACGTTTGATATGATCAGTGCAATAACGCCCGGGCTCAGATCAAGTGATTTGTTGAGGGCAGCGTCTCCTTTAACTCCTTTTCAAACATTAACACAAATTGTGCTTACATGAATAAAACACAGCACGGCTTTCTTGCACTGTCATTTTCTTACCGTTCACTTGAACCCTGGTCCCGTTTCCAAGCTGTATTTGTCCACATGAAGTAACAACACAGTAGTAGAGTCCGGCATCTTCAGAGCTGAGATTCTTCATGAGAAAGTCGAACACACAGGTAGCTCCTCCAGAATCAGTCCGACACTCCTGATGTCCAGGGGAGTAAGTCATTTCTGGAGCTGAATGATGAGAGTTTTTCAGCCACGTGACACTAATGTGTTCCGTAGCACAGTGACGAGACTTCACAGAACATGTCAGAGCCACAGAGTCTCCTGACTGGACTGAACAAGATTCTGGCTTCTGGACGACAGAGTCGCTGATCATCTTTGCACCTTGATAAATTCACCACATAAATTGCGATCATTAGATTTATAGTCTCATTTAAGCATAACGATCTTTAGATGCAAGGAAAACATTAAAACTACAGAACAATACCGTTTATCATCAGAAAGGTTCCTTGTCCGAACATAGTTTCTTCTGGATGTAACACTCCACAGTAGTACGTGCCAGCATCCTCCCTTACAGTCTTAGGTATGATCAGATGACTGCTTGTGTGGTTAAAGTTAGTTGAAAAATGTTGGAATTGCTTTTTAATTTTTTGATCTTCAAACATTGCATCTATTGAGGCCACGAACTGCAGTTTCCTTTCAGTGGTAAGTTTGTACCACACTCTCGTTCTCTCAAATTTAGACATAAAACAACTGATAGTAACTGTGTCTCCGAGTTTCACAGCTTGGAAAGAAGGCTGAGAGATGTCGCTAAGCTGTGCTTTACCTGAAAGAAACAGAGACAAGGAGTCTAATGAATGCACTTTCACGCATGTAAACCCACATAAAAAAGAAGACCTTTTTGTTACTTACACACAAACCAGAGCATGGAAAAACGTAGAAGACACACAACCATCTTCTGATCTCCTGGCTGCTACACAGCAGATCTGACTTCTTCAAGTGTCAGTGACAGCACTGTTAAGAGTACCTCTGGCAGACCATATGGTGTGAAAAATGGCCAGATCTGTCAGATTTCTGATTGGTTCATCATTGTCATGCAGCCCCACCTGATTGGCTGCTCAGGAAATCAATCAGGGTTGATCACAATGAAGAAAAAAAATACTAAAAAAAACAGTGATCACATGTTAACTTCAGATTTACAAACCTATAGTTCTACCAGAAGTTACATTTATGTCATGAAAATAGCATTTTTAATAAACCGATTCCAATTGGCTGCAGAGGATAATGTGTTTTATCAACTGCTGATACAATATGCAACAGAGGTTAGTACACCCCTGTGAAATATCAATTAAAGATCAAGTTATTTAACTTTGTATCGCCTTTCAGTAATTGCATTTAAATTGAACAATTAAGTATTTTGTCTTATTAACAGCAAAAACAGATACTTTAGTAATATTAATAATACAGGTCAGAAAGTAGAAACACACCTGTGGTCACTAAAATAACACTGAGTGCAGCTTTAATTTCCAGTTCATCAAACTGCATGAACCCAGGTATAGAATGATTGTGAACACCAGAATTTTCTCACTTTTTGGCTTGTGTCTGTCTGCATGTCTTCATCATGGCTCCATATGAGAAGAAAATAAAATAAAAAATTGCTAGAGGAATTGTGAAGTCTATCTGCCACATTTCACAAAGATGGAAAAGGATGCACAAAGATCGGCGACCGACTAAAACTCAGTGGAAACATAGTTGCAGCAGTAATCAGGAGGTGTAGAACGAGCCGTAGTATCACTCACAGACCTGCAGTGACAGTCCTCATAAGCTAATACAGTTCATACAGCATACTGTACAAGTATGGAACTGAGTCGTCACAGTGGCCTCCAAGTGGACTAAGTACCAGTGGATTAACAACAACTACCCAAGCTGTTGTTTTCATACCACATAACCCGGTTTTCTACCTCCCTACAGTAGGAAGCCTCATCTTTGTTTCGGCAGCAATTGTGAATATTGAGTATTCCGTTTTGTCGCATCACAGTCGTGGGTGTAGTGTGTGTACTGCGTAGGACTCATAATCCTAAAATGTGCCAGTGTTTATGACACTGGAAGTAATGTTTCCAATTCTTTTGTCAGTGGATGTGGAAGTCTGTTCTAGAGTTTGTGGTTCAGTCCCAGGTAGAACAGTTTTTCCTTCAGTATAGTAGGTAATTATTATTTAATAGCATATATGGTTTACGTAGGCTTCTTGCATCTTAAAATGTTTTCGTCTTTCTACCTAAGTGGTACTCAAAGTGCTTTCACACACATACACTCATTCACACATGATGACTGAGCGTCCATGCGAGGTGCCTGCCTGCCACTGGGAGCAACTTAATCGTCTTGTGTTGTGATTAGAAGAGAACCTGCTCTACCACCTGACCAAAGCCACCCTGTTTAATACTGAGGTCAACCTTGGTGTTAAACGTAACAGCACCTAAGATCCCCGGCAGCAAAGCAACACCCCATTGGTGTTATTCCTGTTAAATGGTATCGTTTATCAGAGCTGAGGGAAGGACAACAGGGTATTACATCCTGTACATATTATAAAGCCAGTGGTGTGCTGACAGGGCCAGCAAGGCCTTCTCTGCTGCTCTAAACTTACATTGTAATATTTTCCCATTAATCTTTTTACATTATTCCCAACAGTCTGTTCTCTTCATTTAATAGTATGTCTCTGGGCTGCGGTGCTTCCAGCAGTGCATGTTTATATTAGGGCTTTTATCCAATCATATTTCATGTGTTGCCAGGGTCAAAGAAATCTGCCTTGAGGCCTTCAGAATCAATAGTGTCGGCGTCTGTAGCTTAAAATGCATTTTAATAAAACTGTTGCTTTAACCAATCAGATTTAAAGTTGTTGGTCAGCTTGCTGGCCTACGAAGACGTCAGCACTTTCCCGTCCTCTGATTGGATGGTCAGAGAGCTCAGCCAAAGCTAGTGATTGCTGTCTGTAGTGACCTGCACAAGCTAAAACTTCATCATAAAAGTGTTTTTGTTTTTTTTTTAAAGTTAAGTAAGTGGACATTCTCAGGCCTCAGCGAATTAAAACTTATGGCAGAAACACCACTGGACCGACCCGACTTTCAGCATTAGCCTCCATGGTGATAGAACAGGACTTACTGTTGGACACACAGATTACCTGCTCAACAGAGTGATTGAACATTTCGTGAGGAAAGAAAAGAGGATGGATTTTGTGTTCAAGTAATTACAAGTTTTGGTGAGTAAAATGTATATTTGTGACATTTTATTGGGCTGATATTGATGCTCCTGCTAGATGTGATGTATGTGGTGCAGCTGTGGCTGCAGTGAAAGGAGACTTGTTGAATCGTTATAACTGGGTTTGTTGCTTTGGTGATGGCATTCAGTCTGGCTATATGAGATACCTGTCTGCCGTGTAACGTCCTGCTATGCTGCCTTTCAGTGTAATACTGATGGTTTCTGTAGCCGTGGTGTCACAATGATGTTGTTAAGAGGTGGTTTGATTCAGGTAGGACGCCACTGAAGGCCTGGGAGTAAAATGCACGGCCCACCACTGTATAAAGCCCTTTGAAATTTGTGATACTGGGGACATAAATAAATTGACTGGACCACCTGGTTCTGGTTTTTCTTGGTGATTATATACGTCTAACTCTGGTCCAGGGCCAGGTTTTGAATCCAGACAACAGAACGCCCCAGCTTCTTATGGTTTTGACCTGGAATGGAGATACCTGATAGGGTTACTAGTTTAGCCTGTAGTCCAGAGAAGCAGCATATGGCTCAAATATAGCAGAGAGAGAGAGGCAAACTTAAACCTGGAGGAAGTAATGAACATTACAGGTTGAACACAAGATCTTGGTACTACATCTGTGTCAAGGTCAAGTCAAGGTCAAGGTCAATTTTATTTCTACAGCACATTTAAAAACAACCAGGGTTGACCAAAGTGCTTTACAGACTAATAATCAACACGGAAAAAGAACACAAGAACATGTCCTCTTCTAACTTACAAACACTTTTGCACTTGTGGAGACCCTTGTACTGATATTAACCTGCTCTGCATTGAGGAATCAGCTGCAAAATGTTGTGTTTAAATGAGTGTTTTTATTATTCTGCTCTTTGAAGTGTCCTCACACATTGCTGAAGGACTTATACTCGACACTTGGGTAGCTGAAAGGTTGCAGCAGACAGTATGACACCACCCAGCTTGAAACCTTTGTTGCATGTCCCTCCCCACGCCTGCTGCTTATCTTGTGGTGTGATTTAATCACCTTCATCCTCTATTGTCATGATGTCGAGGTAGGAGGAGACACAGTAACACTGGTGAGCAGTGTTTTGATTGCATGGTTCTCATGGTTTTTTTTTTTTTTTTCCTTCACCTGATTGATACGTAAATGCCAGTAGCACAAAGAACAAATCAGCCTCATCCTTCTGAGAACCACCGATGTCGAGACATCCTGCTGGAAACCACAGCCTCTCTTTACTGCAGTTACTCTGGTTTGTGGTTGCTTGTAGAATAAACAACGTACAGCGAAGCGTTTGTGGATGATTCGGGCTTCATGTATGTTCACACTGATGCAGGATCGGTTTGCTAACCTCAGCTGTGAGTGCAGTTTTGTTTTTTTGACAGAGACAAAAGGGAGTCAGTGTGTGTTAGAGGTGAGGATCTACACAGGATGCAACAGTATGTGTGGAAACACAGTACTGGGCTGTAGGTCAGAAGCCGTCAGAGTGGGAGACGAGCTGTTCTGTCAGACAAGTGTGAGACAAGATGACTGAAACCATTTCTTTGTTGGTTCTTTGTGCGTTGGCTACATTAAAGAAAACAGGAAAAAGGTGTTGTGTTTTCAGGGTAAGAGCTTTATTGCAAAAGGAAGCTTTTGTATTTATAGAATTTAATGAAATCTTATTAAGTGTACATGATTCAGGATACTTATAGAAAAAAAAAACTCTACTGCCTTACACCAGAGTACACACATTCACTGTCTGTATTTTTTACTCTTGGTCTGCTGGTCTTGTGTTCCCCTACAGCAGCGTAATGGAGGTTCTCTTCCTCTTGACAGAACTGGTGACGAACAATACAACACAGTACAGGTGTCAGGAAGAAAGAAAGAAAACATGAAAATCTGTATCAACTGGAAGCGATGCTCACCTCTGGATTTGGAGTCGAGGTTGCTGGAATTGTTGTGTCGGAGTCTGTTTGTTACACACAGAAAGAAAGTAATTTTATGCAATAGGCGCTCCATACTTGATGTTAGATTCAAAACGCTTACCTGAGCACCGGCAGCTTCTTTTGCTCATTTTGTAGATTGAGAAAGCCAGTAAAACAATCAGGGTGGTGGTGAATGCCAAAGCTCCACCCAACAAATACACATAGACAAAAGTATCCACTTCATCTAAGAGAAAGAATAAGTTAGTTAGTTTCTTTGCCCTGCATTTATTTTATGATTAAATAATAGCACACTGACATGTCTGAAAGGGATACAAGTAGTCGTAACAGTTGGCCACAAAGTGATCCCTTCCGAAAGCAGTTTTTTACATGAACAATCAATGGCTCTTGTCTTGTGTTGTTTTTTTGTTTTTTTTAGCATAATCTGAAGCTAATCTGGAGCAGCAAGGTGGCGCAGTTGGTTAGCACTGTTGTCTCGCAGCAAGAAGGTCGCCGGTTTGCGTCCCGGTGGGGGCACCGGGATCTTTCTGCGTGGAGTTTGCATGTTCTCCCCGTGCAGCGTGGGATCTCTCCAGGTTCTCCAGCTTCCTCCCACAGTCCAAAAACATGTTGAGGTTAATTGGTGATTCTAAATTGTCTGTAGGTGTGAATGTGAGTGTGCTTGGTTGTCTGTCTCTAAGTGTAGCCCTGTGATAGACTGGTGACCTGTCCTAAATTGGCTGGGATAGACTCCAGCCCCCCTACGACCCTCGTGAGGATTAAGCGGTGTATAGATAATGGATGGATGGATGAAGCTAATCTGGAGGTTTAGCAGTCACATTTAGATAAAGTAGCCAATTTAAAACCAACAGTTTAATGGGCAACAGTTCACAGCCGGTGAAGCAATCTTTCCTGCAATATCTCGGCTCTCAAAAGAGATAAATCTCACGTTTACGTTCAGTTGTTGCAGTGTTTTTGCATGCCATTGTGTCATAATGCAATGGAAAGGTCTACTTCTTGGTTTTGGAAAGCAGTTTTGTTGCCACAATGAAAGACCAGCTCAGACCCTCTTATGGGGGAATAGCATAAGGAAGTAATTGCTTCATGGAAAGTTACAAAGAATGATGTCTCTTAAACAAATGTATTTTGAGACATCCATCCATTTATCCATTATCTATACACCACTTAATCCTCACTAGGGTTGTGGGGGTGCTGCTATTCCAGCCGACTCAAGGCAAAGGTCACCAGTCTATCACAGGGCTACACTTAGAGACAGACAACCAAGCACACTCACATTCACACCTACAGACAATTTAGAATCACCAATTAACCTCAACATGGTTTTGGACTGTGGGAGGAAGCCAGAGAACCCAGAGAGAACCCACGCTGCACGGGGAGAACATGCAAACTCCACACAGAAAGACCCCGGGCGTCCTAACCGGGACGCGAACCGGGGACCTTCTAGCTGCAAGGTGCTAATGCTCATGCAGCTCCTATATTGAGACAGATTTGAAAAAAACTGAATCTATCCTGTACATCAGATGTTACATCTTCCACAAAGCTACTCACGATCAGTGCCCAGCTTGGTCCCACTTCCGAACAGAATGCGTCCACATGAGGCCACGGCACAGTAGTAGGTCCCATGAGAAACATTCAGGCTATTTATTGGCAGGTTGTAGTCACAGGTGTGCGTTTGTGTGTTGTTTTTGCTCTGACACTGATCACTCCTGCCTCCATGGGTGTAAATGAGTCCTGGATGAGAATCTTTAGAGGTTTTGAACCAGTAAACTCTGTGTTCTCCATCGCAGGTTCCAGTATATACTGTACAGCTCACAGAGTGTCCTGGTTGGAGGGTCTTAGACTGATGAACCAAAGCTTTGATATTCAAACCTGAGCCCTGTACACTAACAAAAGTGCCTTCATAAAATTTAAAGACATATAAGTCGCTCATTACACAGTAGTAGTTGGCCGAGTCTGAAATTCTCAAATCGGATATCGTCAAATGATTTTTAGCATTTCCAGCATCCAGTGAGAAGCGTTGAGAGTTATTAAATCTATCTTCAAAGGTAGCTTTAGCATTATGCTTGTAGAATGTAGACACTAGCTCTGGGTTTGCTCCCAGAGTTTGCTTGTACCAGTAATACATCACTGATGTCGCATCTTGACAGAAGCATTCCAAAGTCACATTTTTCCCCACATCAGCGGATTTGAAATGAAGTTGGGATTGTTTCAGAGTTGTCTCATGAGCTGAGGAGAAAATAAAGAGACAAAGTAAATGCACACAAATTTTAATACATATTGCAAGGATATGTGTTGAGCTTTAAGCAGATAAACATTATGGCTACAGGTGAAATTGAAGCAATAAGTAGGTACACACTTACCCGTATTCGCCACAAACAGGCATGTGAAGTACAAAGCAAAGGCTGGAGGTGTCATCGTGCTTCGAATGCTGTGAGAATGAATTGAATCTCTGCATGTTCTCCACTCTTCAAAGAGCAGACTGTGTGTTCATTGGCCAATCAGATTGAACGTCTTAATTTGGAAACAGTGAACAAACAGTAGGTTCAGTGGCACGTTCCTTTCAGAAGAAGTTCAGCAACATTTAGACCGGTATTAGCTTTAGACGAATCCCTGAAAGAGAAATTATTTGCGCTGTATGTTCTAAACATCCCACAGTGAACCGTAGTGATTGTGGGTTGCGGATATACATCAGATGATTTACTTGTGTGTGGGTTAATTTGAGAAATTCCTGCAGCAATGCTTTACACGACTGATAGTAAGATTTTAATGAAAGAATTTCAGCAGTGTTTCAATGCTTGAGGACACGAATGGCAGTTTTCTAAAGATAGGAGCCTAAAGTGGTGCTGCACATCTTGGCAGGAAACATTATTAGGGACTGACCGAGTGTCCTTCTGGCCGATTATTTTGTCAGCATTTTTCTAATTATTGCTATAGTTTGATCAATTCCTGATAAAATACATGTAATAATGTGCAACACTGGCTCAGATGCAGCCACTTTTCTCTATATGCCACCTATCTGTGGTCATGAGCAGTGTAGTCACACATGACCAGTAATCATTACATATTGGTCCCAGTTGGTCGATCTCTAAGTGTTACGGTGACATGCAACTGCAGTCGGACAACTGAGTAGTGATTATTGTAGGATCTGGAAACAAATTGTACCTAAAATAAAGCACACAAATACAAACTATAACACCTGCAGTTTAAAAAAAAACTGAAAAGCTACGTGCAAAATTTGTGGCTTAACTTGCATTTGTATATAAAAGCATGTACCTTTAACCCCATTCTGCACTCACTGTTTAGTTATTGGAAAACCTCACAAAAAGACCACTGATTGGTTAGATAGCTGTCGATGACATATTTTGGGGCTATTCTGAACTTTCTAAATATGGGATCCATACATCTGTGCCAACCTAATGTCCACATTAGGCAAACCAAAACAGTGTGACTTCTTGCTGATCGTAGTGAAACAAGGACAGCTTCAGCCTAAGGAAAGCTACTAGTTGATGCTCCAGTCTCTTGCTGCTTCTTTCAGACATTTCCTGGTGGGGGTTTATTCTCAGCGTTTAAGATACGAAACTCATCTCTTGCAGCTGCATTTTGTAAAATGGCCACCCTCCGCTCTTGGCCTCCGTGCGAGGTGCTGTGCAGAAACCACAGGCCAGTGTTCTTGTTTTCAAGTAAGTACTTAAGTTTCCACTGGCGGAAACCTGCTCAGAGGTAGTTCTCACCTTTCCTGCCACAGGACTCGAAACACAAGTCAGATGCCGCTTTCAAGGCTGCGTACTGTGCTTATGTTTCTAGTTGCAAGAGGGTATTTATAGATCAGAGGGGGGTTTTTCAGCGGGGTCTCTGCGTCTCCAGTGCTGTAGCTTTTGCATGGTGGTTTTGAGCACGTTCGCAGCAAAGTTTTCACCTGAACCCGTTTAAAAATAAAACTTGCTTTGCTGCTGATTACTTTGTAATGATATCAAGTCTTTTGTAAAGTTTAGAGCCTCCAGCGAGAGGAGGTGGATCTTTTCTGTTGTCTGTGACCGTCCACGTCAAACCGTGCTATAGTAGTTTACTTCAATTATATTTTATCCACCCATCACGTGGTGTCATAAAAGTTTTATTTGTGGAGGTTTTGAAATATGCATCTTTGAGATTTGTGGTGGAATTGTTTGTGTCGTGTTGTTTCAGACTTAGTTGTAAAATTCTTAACACGAGAAAAATAAAATCTCACAGTGAATGGTCAAGTAATAATAGAAGCAATTACTCTTTTTTTTTCTTTTTATTGCCTTTGTTGACTTCAACTTGCAAGACTACAAATTACACACAGTTGCATTTCCTGACATGTCGTGAGAGCAGCCTTAATCCAGTAGTCAGGTGACACATGATGAGCCAGAATTTTTCCAAGTGCTGCAGGTTCAGGAGTCAGTGTTGGTCCAAATGTAGCCCACTTGCTGATTCCTGGACCTGCTTTTCAGATCAAACAAACTCATTCCCACTCTGTCAACAGAACATCTTGCAACCACGCAAGTGCCATGTTTCCTCTTTGGCCAGGACACAGTTGGCAGTGATGCTTGCAAACAGTTGACATGAGTGGGGCAACCTGTGAGGACTTGTATCACAATCTTCCGGTGCAGAATCATCAATCACAATTCCCTCAACAAAGTCATTTGATGAATGTGGCCACATGATTAGTTGAGCAAATGGCTGCCAGTATACAAAGCCTGTCACGTCAACACAAGAGTAAAGGCCCCGAATCTCTGAATCTGGAAGAAGGTATTCGTATCTGCTATCGGCTTCTTTCAGGATGTTGGTACATTATTGTTAATCTGCTCTGATGTCTCGTGTTTGCAAAACAGGCTCCCAGGTTGTTTTTTGTGGCGGTCCTCAATGACGGCCAGTTTCCAATTGTGCGGACGAACTCCAACTTCATCGTCTTGCTGGCAACAGTAGTTAGTTATGTTATTCCAAGTGGACATTTTGGTGTCCTTGTTCTGCTCTGAAGTTCTCTGTGAGCTCGGTGTAGCAGTACATTAACTAGTTCTCCTCCTGCTGCAGGTTCTGCTTTCTGCAGATCTCCTGGAGAGCAGGACCACCATTGCAAGCTGCAGTCTAAGACGATGGAGGTCATCCTTAAGACAAGAGACTCCCTGGAGATTCAACTCAGTGGCATCGAGGACCACTGCAATAGTCAAATGGCCAGCATGCAGTTGGGAAACATGGGACAGGAGGGGCTGGGGCTGAACTTAAAAAAGTAAAATCCAAAAGCAGATCACATGCCAAATGTAGATAGTCCACGATGTAAGATTGTCTCATTGCCCATCCCTTATGATGGCTATTTTGAGCATTTTCAGCACACCAGACGAACAAGGAATGAGCAGTAAATACAGTTCTTTGTGATACAGGACAGACAGACCCAGCATTAGTTAAAATTAGCACTTTTTTCCATGTTGCAGTAGCATGCGTCACAGTCCACTGATTGCCATCTTTCCAAGTATAACCACACAGCATAATGAGTAATCCCAGGACTAAAGAAAGAGGAGAGGATGTAAAGTCAAGAATAAAACTGAATCAAAAAGTTCTATAATGCCAGCTTTGGTTTGTACAGCATAAGGAGCAGCAATCAGAAAAGGTACCTCCAGGGCGTTACAGGCAAGCTGCTTTGTGAATATGAGTACTAATCCTCCGTGACTGACGAAGCTCTTTTGGTCATATTCTGTAGGTGGTGATGTGCCACTGAAAAGAAAAAAATAAAAGAATAGTTGCAAGACAATCCTGCTCCATCAGTCCAAATTCTCCCTGGTTTGTCCACATTCTCGAGACCAAACTCCCCCGTTGTCTTCACTGAATCTGACGTTGGAATAAACCACAGAGTCTCCGTTGTCTTTCACTGTCGATTTTCTGGGGGCGAGGTTTCTGTGAGTCGAAGTCACAGATGTATAGATAACGGCGTCACTCGCCTGTAAGAAATGGAGATTGAAGTTTAGAGTTGTTCTGACAAATCAAATATAAACATTATAGAATCAGAGAAACTCTGACCTGATTTCCTCCAGATGACCCAGCATCTGTAGAAAAGGTAAATGATTACATGAAGTCAATCCAGGAACTCTAGAATGTAATTGAATGTGGATCAGATTTTGGTTTAACGTACCTGCAGAATTTTTCCTACGTGTTTTACAAAGTGTCCAAACCAGAATGAGGGCAACAATCCCAAGAGTGATGTTTGACAGCATCAGCGCAATAACGGTTGGACTCAGTTCAAGTGGTTTTCTCGAGTCAGCTTTAAAGAGAACAGACAAGACAGTACTTCCATTGAGTTTTTTTTATGTATGCCTTAAATTATACACGGCGTACACTGTATAGTAAGATCAAACAGAGCAATATCCAGCATTTGATTTATGCTACTTCAAAGACCTTTGAGATTTACACTAGAAGAATTTTGGACTGAAAATTGTCAGGAGTGTCTTACGGTTAATAATCGCGGTTCCATTTCCAAACAGTATTTGTCCACATAGGGTCACGACACAGTGGTAAATTCCAGCATCATCGGGGCTGACGTTCCTCATGAGAAGGTTGTACACGCAGGTTGTTTCTCCAGAGACAGTCTGGCAGGTGTCGTTCTGATTTCCAGAGGAGTGAATCATTTCAGGAGCAGAGTGATCAGAGTTTTTCAGCCACATGACACTGATGTGTTCTGCGGCGCATTGACCAGAATGAACAGAACAGCTGAGAGTTGCAGAGCGTCTTGACTGGACCGAATAAGACTTTGGCCGCTGGACGACAGAGTCGCTGATCATCTTTGCACCTTGGAAAAGAAACCAAATGGCTTGTGATTGTTATGTTCACATTCAGCTGAGATTAGATGCAATAGGGATACCTAATGATAAACTACAGATAATCAATACCTTTCAGCATCAAGAAAGTTCCTGATCCAAAGTGAACATTATTTAAACGCATCACTCCACAGAAGTATGTCCCGACATCGTCCCATGATGCTGTAGTGATGCTGAGATGCGTGTTGATGCTGTCAAATACTGTTGAAAACCGGTGTTTAAATTCGTCAGCAACTACATTCTGATTATAGTAAGAATCAAATGAAGCCACAAGCTGCAGTTTCCTCCCTGTAGTCAGTTTGTACCACACTCTCGTTGTCACCAGGCTTTTTATGTAACACTGGATAGTCGCTGATTCTCCAAGCTTCAGTGTTTGTAAAGAAACAGGCTGAGAGACTTCATTTGACTGTGCCGCACCTGGAATAGACAGACGGGATATAATCAGCTTTCTGCATGAAGAATCTGATAGAAAGATTTCAGATTTTTGGTACTTACACAAACACCAGAGCGCGAAAATGTTTGCAAAGAACACGATCATCTTGTCTGTTGTTCTTATCCTGCTTCTTCTCCACAGCGGTTCTGACCTACTGAAGCAACAACAGACTTGACACATTCACCCAAACCAGCTTGTCCTACATTCCGCCACCTTTGTCAGATCTGATTGGTGCGTATTCATCATCACCCTAGATACCATGATTAGGTGATTCATACTGGGAAAAAAAAAAAAACATTATCGTGGCCCGTTTTGACAGAAGTGTTCAGTGAACTTAAACAAATTCGAGGATTCTGCACTTTCTTTGTGTTTGGAGGCAAAAAACATTAAATGGCAGCATCTAGGTCAACCACAATGAGGTCGGCATTTATTCTAGAACCACAGGAGCCCTAGATCAGCTTGTACAGATGTTATGAGTCACAAGCAGCCCCCTCATAATTAAACAATACATAGTTTTACAAAATACTAAAGATACGATCACTACTGGATTCAGATCCCATGAAACCAGTTTGTCAAGACTTTTGTCACCTGGTGCATCATCCTGGTGGAAGTTACATTCAGAAGATGGTAAATTCTCGTCATAAAGGGATGCTCATGGTCAGCAACAATGCTCAGATCATCCTTGGCAGTCAAACCCTAATTGATTATTATCAAATGCTTCAAAGGGGGCCAAGAAAACACCCCCTCCCCCCACACTAGTGCACCACCGACAGTCTCAACTGTTCCACAAGGCAAGTTGACTTCATGAGATTCATTGTGTTGATGCAACAATGTCATTTTTAATCTTCTGACTTGTACAAACTAAACTCCGATCACCCTTAGTGCTTTGGTTACACAATGCAACACATGATGCTGCAATCACTATTCAGTTTCATACCCTCTGTACCCAACCTTAAGTCACTTCCTGCAGACATCTCACAGAACACCTCACCCGGAAACCACAGGTGCAGTTTAACACTGAGGGACAGTTCTCTCTTGTGTTTCAATCAGTAAATTCTCAAAACAAAATCCTCTGATAGCTTTAATCCAAGATAAACACCTGTATTTATAGAGTTCACAAAAAACTATTCCCATCACCCACGTCGCTTAAAACCACACACACGCAAACCATGACAAAGTTTCCAAGTGGTCCTCAGTATACTCTGACTCAAACCTGCATGGTTCACTTCCAACCACTTAAAAAGACACTGAGGCGGGACACTGGGTCCGTATACTGTTGTGATAAATGTACATACTCCCCGGATTTGACTTTGCAAAAAGTTAGCTCCTTCGCTGCTTTGACATCCTGTAATTATATCACTTCGGGTCGTGCCTCTTTTCATGTTTACACAAATTTTACTGACAGTAAGTCAGTTCAGTGGACAGCAGCACTACTGAGGTAAATCTATTACAGCCTCTTGTCACAGAGGTGATGTAAATCATTGCGCTTGATGTTCTTTTAATAGCTTGTTTATTGAGGTTATTGCAGGTTAAGGCGTTACAGTGATCACATTTAGTGAAAGAAACATTAGAAAAGCAGTTCAAGAAAGGCCTCGGTATACTTTGAAAGCTACACTAACAAGACAATATCTTGTAATGCAAAAACAAAGTTCAAACACGTTCAGTTGTCCTTCTTTACACTCCAGTACACGCATTCACTCCAGGTGTCGTCTCTCTGACTTTTTGATGCCTTGGTCTTCAGATGTCTCTCATCTTGGACCTGAGAAATGATGCATCACAATTATTATAATGTTCATGACAGACATTAAGCAAATATCCATAGTTTGATTGTAATTGTGATACAAATGTTGACGTAAACAGCCGATACCTTTGCACTGGTCGTGGTCGAACCTGAAAATCCTCCACAAGACTCTGAAAAATAGCAACAAACTTTGTAAGGCTATGTTGTATGCAGTGAAGACAAAATATAGATACCAACAGAACTAGTTACCTGTACAGTAGCAGCATTTTGTTTTACAGATGTATACTAACAAAGCCAGAAAGGGAGCCAGACTAATACTCAGGAAGATGACGATCTTCAAATTTGCGTAGGAAGGTGTATCGCTATAAACCTCTGTGTCATCTGCAAATTCAGACATGAGAAGATGTTACATTTCTTTGAATTTCCTTTTTTGTCCAAAGTCACTGACAGTATGTAACTTACAGAGCAGCTACGCCTCAATTTACTGTCAAATCTTCTTACCACAACTGTTTCACAAACAGCAACAACTATTAAAAACTTACAATCAAAGATGAGCCTGGTCCCGTCGCCAAACAGTATTCGTCCACATGAAGTGACAACGCAATAGTAAACCCCGGCATCGTCATCACTGAGATTCTCAATGAGAAGGTTGTACACACAGGTTGTTTCTCCAGAGACAGTCTGGCAGGTGTTGTGATTTCCAGAGGAGTGAATCATTTCAGGAGCAGAGTGATCAGAGTTTTTCAGCCACATGACACTGATGTGTTCGGCGGCGCATTGACCAGAGCGAATGGAACATCTCAGAGTCACAGAGTCTCCTGACTGGACCGAATGAAGCTCCGGCTGCCAGATGACAGAGTTGCTGATCATCTTTGCACCTTGGAAAAGAAATCAAATGGCTTGTGATTGTTAGCGTCTTCTTCACATAGAACTGAGATTAGATGAAATGCTTTAATGGTAAACTACAGATAATCAATACCTTTCAGCATCAAGAAAGTTCCTGATCCAAAGTTAATTTCATTTAAATGCATCACTCCACAGAAGTATGTCCCGACATCGTCCCATGATGTTGCAGATATTCTCAGATGACTGTTGGTCTTGTCAAATTCTACTGAATAGTGGCGCTCGAACTCATCAGAAAGCACGCTGCGTTGATAGTAAGAATCAAATGAAGCCACAAGCTGCAGTTTCCTCCCTGTAGTCAGTTTGTACCACACTCTTTTTGTCATCAGGCTTTTTATGTAACACTGGATAGTCGCTGATTCTCCAAGCTTCAGTGTTTGTAAAGAAACAGGCTGAGAGACTTCATTTGACTGTGCTGCACCTAAACAAACAGACGGGATATAATCAGCTTTCTGTGTGAAGAATCTGATAGAAAGATTTTTGATTTTTGGTACTTACACAAACACCAGAGCGTGAAAATGTTTGCAAAGAACACGATCATCTTGTTTGTTGTTCTTCTCCTGCTTCTTCTCCACAGCCGTTCTGTGACCTACTGAAGACTTGACAGGTTCACAACACCGACTTGTCCTACATTTCGCCACATTTGTCAGATCTGATTGGCTCGTTGGCGTCGCTTTGCAGAACACGACTGGCTGCAGTGTTTGTGGTTTCCATACAGATTTCATCAAAAAAAAAAAGTTATCTCGGTGTTTCACATGAGCGTCCTCTGCAGCACCAACATGAATGATGACATCCATGTGAGGTATTGTAGTTTTTATTCTTTTTTTGGTTCTGTCCCTCCACTGCAGTTCAGTTGGTTTGTCTTAAAGACGTTTATTTCACAAGGTTGCTGAACAGTGGCAACAATAATTGACTCATGGACTTTATTAGGCCTCCGACCTGCATCACGCTTTTCTGTAAGCAAACGTGACTTCCTCCGAGATGCTTTCTGAGAATGACCTGAGGCCTCTTTGCCAGGAAGCCACAACGCTATCTCTGTGTGATTTGACTGCTTCAAAACCAACACATTGTACGAAAAGAATCCCCGTCCGTTAGCAGATAAAACTTCACTCAGAGACACTGACAACTGAGTGTTTACACCTCCATGAATATGATTGGATGTTACAAGTGATTAGGACTGAACAATTAGTAATTGATGATGGTATGATGGTTGCTCATTATAATAACGGTCCTCCACATTTGAAATCTATTACACAGTGAACACTGAGCTGTAGAACTCTAAAATCAACTTTTGTCATTTTGCTTTCTTCGAATGGTCAAAATCTTTTGTGTATCAATAATCAGATGGATTGGAGTTAGATCTAGTCAGTGTGACTTGCCATTTTCCATCAAATAAAGAGAACAAAAGGTACTTATAACTCATGAGAGCATCCAACAGAGCAAACTCACAGTGTGTTTTATATGTCTTTGACTGTAGTACGTGAAACACTGTGCGGCTTTTATACACTTGTTGTTTTCAGATAGAACATCATATATTAAATTTTTGTTTTCTTGCCATTTTCATAATTTCATATGAAAATGAGCAGCTCTAGTATGCAGATAATGGACTGCCAATGATGAAAATGTGCACCTTTTATCCCATGACAGGCTTCGCTGGGAATGGACTGGAAGTCATAAGGTCACTTTTCAGTTGTGGAGTCTCAGTTAATTAGCTAAGTGCACAAGACAAAGAGACCGATGCACTCGTACAAGTTCAGTAGACGAGCTTTTTGTAGTTATTTGTCATAAAGTTAACCGTTATAGGAGGAGATTTAAGCCTTTTCATTGGAGTACAGACATTTGTCCTCTGTTTCCTCTCTGTGTCTTTTGGCCTTTGTTACTCTTACAGCAGGTTTTCTTCAGTTTTCTAAGTCTGGTAATAAAGTAGCATATCACTGTTAATGTCCTGTCATCTATTAATTCAGTGCATTTCTTGATGTTTTTGTTTTTTGCTGTGGTGTAGTTCCAGCAACAGTATCAATACATTCAGGCAGGTGTTGAATCAAAGTCATAATTTCGATCTCTATGGTGTGTTTAAACCCCTGAAGCTCCTCTTTTTTTTTCTCTGATCGAAACCACATTGCCAAGTCTTCCCCACAGAAGTCTATGAAATGAGTGTCGTGGAACACAGAGCAGCCTGGATGTGTTTAAAACGACATGTCTCAGTTTTATTTCATTGGATTTAATCAAAATACTGTTCTTAAGAAACCCCTTATAACTGGTTTGTTAATTTTTATCTGAATGATTAACAGAATTCTCACAAAGCTAGCAAAGACATTAGTAGTGGTTTATTGGTGCACACACACCTACACACACACACACACACACACACACCCCACACACGTCGCCTTTGCAGTGCAACCACAAAAGATGCAATCAGGTCTGCATGTGTGGGTTGTGTCTGATAAAAATAAGTGAACACGTAAGAGGGAAAGTGATTGAAAAGTTTATTTAAAGAGTTTACAGGAGCAGAAGGCTTTGCAGTTATAACATTTGCCTGAAATCGCTAAAAAAAAAAAAGTCTTTACAGAAGGTATATTATACTTTGAGTTAATATAAAGATGTTTCAATTAAACAAAGATGAAACACGTCCAACTCTACTGCCTTACATTGAAGTACACACATTCACTCCAGGTTTCATCCTTCTGTCTTCTTGACCTATTGATCGCCCTCAAAGCGATGTAGCAGAGGTGGTCATCAGGTTTGTGTCCCTGTTGATGACAAACAAGAAATCACAAATGTGGTCCAGATCAGAAATAGAAACCTTTGGAAGATTTCGAGGATTCAAGCAGAAATTACCTCTCCTGTCTTTGTGGAGGGATCTGAAAGTCTTGCATGACATTCTGGAAAACAGACAAAAAAAACAATCTTCTTAGTAACATATGTTCAACGTATGTGCATTATATACACAATCTAACACCAGTTACCTGCACAAAGGCATGTATTTATCTTGTCGATCAGCAATAAAACACTCAGGATGGTGGTGAATGCGACAGCCGCGCCCAAGACGTACACCAAGACGAGAGAGTCTCCCTCATCTGCAGATTCAGACAGCAGGAGAGACTTTTCAAACATTAATATTTTTACAAATGCTAGCTGACAGAAAACCACTTCCTTGAAAACCCGATTCAGTCATCTGAGTTTAAGGTTGGAGTAAATGCTTCTGAAACTAAGGCAGCATTTTAGAGAATGTTACGTACCCTCAAAGTCCAGCTTGGTCCCGTTTCCAAACAGAATGTGTCCACATGAGGCGACAGCACAGTAGTAGGTCCCAGCATGAGACAGGTTCAGGCTCTTCATCGGCAGGTTGTAGACACAGGTTTGTGCGTTGGGTTTTCTCTCACACTGATCGTTCCTGCCTCCGTGGGTGTAAATGAGTCCGGGTTGAGAATCTTCTTCGCTTTTGAACCAGTGAACACTGTGTTCTCCATCACAGGTCCCAGTTTGTACCGTACAGTTCAGAGTCACAGAGTCTCCCGGTTGGACGGTCTGAGATGCCGACTGCTGGACCAAAGTTCGGATGTTCCAACCTGACTGGTTTACATTGATGATAATGCCCTCCGCAAATTCCAGTGTGTACAAATAACTACTTGCACAGAAGTAAGTAGCTGAATCTGAAGCGTGCAGATCTGTTATCTTCAGGTGATTTTCACCTTTTGCAGCAAACAGCGTGAAGCGTGGATCCCCCTTGAATTCATTGTGAAAAGTAGCGTTTATGTCGTGCTTGTAGAAGGTAGAGATGAGCCTTGGTTTCTGTCCAAGAGTTTGCTTGTACCAGTAAAGCATCACTGCATCTCCTTCGTAGAAACATTGCAGAGTCACGTCGTCTCCAGTTGTACCAGATAGAAAACGATTCTGCTGATGAACAGATGCGAATATTTTCAAGGTATCCATCTGAGCTGAATTGAAATGAGACGGAGAAAATCCACATTAAGAACACATGAAGCCATAGCCAGCCACTTTAGGAGTTGTAAACTGCAGTTTTTTAAAAGTACTCACCCATTTTCCCCATAGACAGACATGTCAGATAGAAGACAAGCTGTGCTGCTGTCAT